CATCGAACAATTCATAATAAAAACTAACCAATAAAATATGACATTGATAAAAACATAGCTTAACTTCCCAATGGAGTGCAAAATTCTTTTAGGCAGACAAATTCACCATTTGGCTGAATTCCATACAAGAAACTACCAAAGAACAATGTAGGTAGTTAACAAATGGTCATTGATCTTTCTATCAAATGTACCTTGAAATTAAAGATAAGTTCAAATTTTAAACTCAAGTGATTGAGCAATGACCACTTCATTATTAAACTTACATGACTGAGCAATGGTCATTTCATTCATAGATTTTGTACAAACTGTGTTAATAAGAAAAAACAGGCTTCAACAAAATGAAAAGAACAAGTAAACATGTGAATTTTAGAGAACATTCACTGGTAGAAAGAGAACAACATGTAGAGTACAACAGTATTGTAGAAGATCAAATACAAAGAACAACGTAAAAAGGTGGACCAAAGACAAATGGATTTGGGGAATGGGGAAGTCATTTGTAAAGCAACTGGCCTCAGAAAGATTAATTAATGGGTGTTAGATCCCAAAACGTAAGACTTAATGCTACTGTTCTCTTAAAACTGGTACTGTAATACAGTTACAGAAAAAGGTAGGGACAAATACTGCACTAAGTCTTCAAATATGTAGTGACTGAAGTTCTTAAACCATTTGATTGAAAATATTTCCAAAAAAATTTTATGACTTTCCAAATTTCACAAGTGGTATGTGCAAGTAATCCAAGTACTCATGGTTTAAGTCAATTTACAAAGTCAAAACAGCAAACAAACTTTTTCATAAAAATTTACTAATGATTTAAATCAAAGACCTGATCAGGCACATCACAAAAACCTGATAAAATGAGCTCAACATTATTAGATATAAGTTTTAAGAAGAAAACAGTGAAACACTACAAATCTACTAGAATAGATAGCAACTTAACCCAAAATTAAAGCGTTCATGATAATACGGAACTAAAACCATGTGTTGCCAGTCGGAACACAGCCTAATCCCTTTTGGAACACTGTTTAACATTATCTACTGATGCTAAAATACAGATCCCTACCACTCACCAAAATCATTCCTAGATACATCCAAGAGAATCAAATACTCTGTCCATCAAAAAACAAATCATATGAACATAGCTACTCTTTCATAGCTACTCTATCTGTAATAGCTCCAAATTAGAAATAATCCAAATACAGGAAAGTTTGGACTGAGTAAATAAATGACAGTAATAAATGCAATGGAAACAGTACAAGTTAACACATGTAAAACACTGGTAAATTTCAGATATAAGATGGAAGTTAGATACAAAAGATCATACTAATTATATCATTCCATTCAAATAGAATTCAAAACAGGCAAAACCTATAGCATCAGAGTCAAGGATATTAGTAAGAGGGAACAAGGAAAAAGTCTTCCAGAAAACTACAAAAATTTTCTATAATTTGATGTGGGTGATAGTGACATAAATGGAGTTGTATGTATAAGATTTGTGTACTTTATTATAAGGTATACATCAACATAAAAATCTTTTTTAAACTTTGCTAGTGAATTGATCACTTATAGTATTAGTTTTCATTCACTAAGGTCTCCCTCACCACAATGGCTTAGACTTCATGAGTTAATTTTTTTTTAATATGTGAAAGATAGTAGTATTTTGATGATGATGATGATAATTATGCCACTAACATTTACTTTAATAAATTTTGTAAATTTACAAAATAGCTAACATAGGGCATGGGATTTAATTTTACCCCACTATCTGTTAATTGTTACAATAATGACAGATTTCATTCTCTTGGCAGAACAGACATCACAGTTCCCTTTGTCTCTACAACCCAAGGGAGTGATACAATAAGGACCAGATGGATGGGCAATGGGTCTGCATTGATGAGGAACACTGAGGAATTTGCCGATTTTATAATAATCATCAGTAAGTAAGTCTATTTCTTTATGGAGATAAAAATCATTTGACTATGATTAACACAGACCTTGAGAATATCTATACCTATATATGTACACATCTGCATAGATATGTATAATTAAGGATTTAAAAAATAAAAAATCTCTTAATAGCAAAAATACCAAACATGAACAATACCATATGATACTAAATTATTTTATGAAAATAAATTTAGCCTATCCGCACTGGTTCATTCTTTGCTCATTTTAAGAAAAGCCTATTTATAATTTTAACCTAATGTTTTCCCACATTTGTAATTTTTCCAAATTAAAGTTTCATTCAGATCTTTTATTTATAATTTAGTATGAAATGTTAGCCTGCATTTAAGCAAGTCATTTTAAGTGGGCTTTTTCCTGAATCAATTATCATTAGCTAACAAAGACCTAATGTAGCATGAACTTTTCTTAATGATTATCTTTATCAACTTCTGCTACTGTGGTTGTGCTGAAAACCCTATACAGAAAACAGGGACAATAGGGATGCACTGTAATTCATTAAGAGACAAAATGATCTTGGACCATTAAGAGAAAAATTGATCTTGTAACATTGCTTAAAGAGGTGCTTTTGGATACTGACTTTTCTAATAAAATACAGCTATTTTAAGGATTTCAACATCTTCCTTTCTACAAAATCTGTTAGTAAGGCAAAGATAATAGTTTTTTGATAATAATGATAATTATACCACTTACATTTACTAAACAGTTTTTATGCACTCTTAATAACCTTACATTTACAGATCAAAAAAATTAAAATCTCGTAAAAGCTATATGAGATAAATTCCACTATCTTCACATTACAGATGAGAAAAAGAGAAATTAAATGCAACTTGCTTATTTACAGATAGGAAGAAACAGAGATAGGAATCAAACCCTGTCAGTTCAACTCCGGAACCCCTACTCCTAAGTATTGCACACACTCCCTTCTAAAATGAATGCCTCAAAGAATTTTCTTCCCTTAAAAGATTTTTCTCTGTTGTTCTCTATACCCTTTTGACTGCTCCAAAACATTCAAGACACTACATAATATAAGATTACATAGTTCAGAAACCAGGTTAGTAACAGTTCAATATTTTCATTTCAAATAATTTTCCATCACTTAACGTATCTGCTTTACCTACTTTAACTATCTCTTTCAATTGAACTAAGTCAGTTTGCAGATATAAAAGGACTGTTTGTTACTAATGTATAAAAATGTGCATTTATTATAGCACTCTTACCCAAAAGTCTTTTAAACTATCATTAAGATAGTTTTACCCCAATTTATACTAGACATAATTATCTCAGAAATGATTTTAAAATGCACATTAAAAAAACATTTTCTAAAAATAAAATTTCTAATTAAATATGCTTACCTATAATCATAACACTAACATTTGGTATTTTTATGGTTTTTTCCTGCATATATGTAGTGTGACTATATACTCTGAGCATGGTTGAGGATATACTATAGTACTAGGCATTTGCATTTTCTATGTATCACAACAAGAATTTGCCATATATAAGTATGTGTGTATTTATGTATATATATTTGCATGTATGTATATATATATATATAATATATGTATATATATATATATTTCACTTACCTACTTGCTTAGTAACATTTAATGCTTTACTATAGAATGTTTTAGACTCATAATAAAAAGCTGGTTCACAAGTTGACATAAAAGCATCAACATGCCTGGGTCACAGCTACAGATTTGTTTTACAATCTCCACATAAGTCCCTTATTATAAAAGGATTTCTCATAATGCATACAAAAACCCAGAAAAAGATATTATACTTTAATGCTAGCATATGCATGTAAATTACAAGTGAACTTGTCATACCTCTGAAAACAAAAGCAGAACTAGGCTTCGTATAACCCAAAGATTTAATTTTGAATGTCTTACTGAAAAGTTGGTTTTGTTTTTCAGGCCCCATACACTAAACTAAGACAGGTTTAGAAACAATGGAACTCATTCAGTTCTATCAGCCGATTGTATACATGGCCATCCATAGTACTTTCCTATAAATTATCTCTAAATCTAGTAATAAAGTATAATCCCAAAAGGCTATAATTTAGTAACTTCAATCTTGAAAGTTTACAGATTGCTAGCATTTAGATCTGATTCTCTATATTCCCTTTTCCCTTTATACAACACTTTCAGGATTTACAGAGGCATAAAAACTACATAACGAGTGTTATCTCAGACTTACAGTCTTAATTATACAACATGTATGCACTGAGTGTTCCTAAAAAAGAGCAAGTCACTAAGCTAAATGCTGAGGGTTAAAGATAAAGTTTCTGTCTGGACTTAATTTAAAGAACTAAAAATTAAAAAAAAAAAAACAAAAAAACTAAGGTTTTCCCTTCCACATTTACAATACCCTATGGGGAACAGTATGTGCCCTACAGATGTACAGGGTGCTAACAAGAATTGAGGGGATAGCCCCTTGGGGAAAAAGATGGGAGGAGACAAGAAACATGAAGCAACTATATCTTAAACATACAAATTAGAGAGCATGAAGATAGAAAATTAGTTTTTACTTGCCTGGATGGGATAGTACTGTGGTCCAGTTGTCATAGATGGCAGAACAAGGGAACTGATTAAAAATGTGCCATAAGGCAAATCCACACAGGGATATTATTAACATCATAATACACAAAGGTACCTGATTTGCTTTTTTAAATTATTTTTGAGGTATCTGTGGTTTACAAGGCAGTAGATTTTAAATGTAATAAACTTGGGTCCAAATTCTGAATTTAAAATTTAGATACAATCTTTGCTTTTCCTATTTTGCATATGTTATCAGTTCTGAAAATTAAATTAGGTAAACACTTGGGGTGTCTGGCATAGTGCAAACTCAGTAAAGAGGAATTACAATAATCATGAAAAATCTTTCAATCAGACTGAAGATTTAAAATACACACCTGAGCTACCTTATTTCAATAAATATAGAAAGTATCATAGTAAGAGAAACTACTAGTTTATGAAACTGAAGAAAAGGGAAAAACTGCAAAGTACACCATTACACAATGCTTTCTTACTACTTACATTTTTTTAAATCACAAGAGCATCCTTCTTCCATCAAGACTGTATGTCGGTGTTCCACTATTATTCCAAGAATGTTGTTTAATCCATGGACATCCTGCAAGCATCCATACTGTGCTTGTTTGACCTTCCCAGAGCGTAGAAATGGAAGGACAGCAATATAAATAGAGTTCAAGCACATACAATGTAAGTGTATCAAAAGTGACACCTCATCAAAGGCAATATTCAGATGCTAGTGATTAAAACATCCCAATTTCAATGTTATGGGGCAAAACAAAACAAAACAAAACAAAACAAAACCATACATCTAAGAAAAAATAAGGCAGCTTTTTCTTTTTTCTCCCCAGATCCTTTCTTCTGTTCCCTTCACCTCCCGCAGTATCTACTGTCCTCCCTTGTCTTTCGTCCTCATTCCTTTGACTCTTATCCTTTCTTCCCTCTTCTATCTTCCTTCAGAATTGCTTCTCCCATGTCCCTCAGTGCTGACTTTGAAGAAGTTTGTCTGCTACCTAATGATGTATAAACTATGTAAAGAAAATGAACTTTTCTTCCATCTTCAAAGAGACCCAATTAACAGAGTATGTGATTTATATCTTTGGTACTTTTATGTGCTCCAGGGCTTCCCTACCTCTGATTTCTCTTTTAAGTAGAAGGGAAGACGTCTTTGACAGCCCAAATATGTGAGAGCCCTAAATAACTAAACTGGCTTTTGAGCAGATTCTTTTTGTGCCTCACCATCCTGACTCTGCCACTGGGAGTAACATTTACTGGATGTTATTTTTTAGAAGTAATATATTTAGTTCCTAGGAAAATAAAAACCGGTAGACTTCAAGGAATTTAAATCATGGATTATTTTCTTCTATAGTATACCTCTATAACAACTCTTTCAAGTTATTATTTATATGTTAAAGTCTTTTATTAATAGAAAAATCAGAAATGGAAGAAAAATTCTGTTTTCTTTTGATATTTCAACTTACCCTTTACTAAACCAATCTTTTAGAAGCTACAAGTAATATTGAGTCTTTTCCTTATAAGTCTTGTTATAATAATGCATAGGGATTAACTAAGAAGTTAATCAAACATTAAATACAAACTGAACCAAGATGTCTTTGGGGAAGTTTTACTTCCTAATTGAAAAAAAAAAAAAAAAGAATTCTCCAGAATCTAAAACCCCACTAGGAAACATATAGGACAATCTGTTGGGTGAGTCAGTCAATTTTCATCAATATTGAAGTTTAAATGAACATAATTAAATCTAGAGATCAAGTACTTTCAAATTTAGATCTATTTAGGAAATCATAAATAGAACAGAAAAAGGGAAACTGCCTGATATAACTGGAAAACCAGAAGGGAGAAGGGAAAAGATTATATATATATTTGTGAATTTCACTGCTTAAGAAGGAATTAACTGAAGAATAGCTATGCTTGCTACAAGTAGTTAGGGACCAAAAAAGAAAGACAGTATTAATACCAAAATCCCTAGCTTGGACAAGATTTCCTGACCCTCACCCAAACACACATATTCTTACCTAGATGAAAAAAGCTTTAAGGATGAAACCCAACTTATATGGGTAAAGATCCAAACAGGAATATAACAATCTACAGGCAAGTTGTTAGCAAAGGATAAGAATAAGGAAAAACAAGTATCATTAAGACAAATGAGGGGAGAGGCTAGGAGGAAACAATTATAAACAATTATTAATAGTAAATTTGTAAAGTAAAAGGGAAAGGCACCCCTACAATATAAATGCAAAAGGGAAGACTGAATATAAGGTTAAGGAGTAAGGCTGTTAGAAGCACTCTGGTGTATGGTACAGAGTTCCAGCTAAGAAGGTATGTTCAAACAGACATTTCAAGAAAGAAATGGCAACAGGACATGACCAAGTAAGACTATAACTAGGTTGGAAGCAGGGGACTGGGGGAGATTCACCATTATAATCCAATTACAAGAGGCAAAGATCAGGGTTAAGTGGTGGTAGTCAAGACAGAAAAGGAAGAAATATGAGGGGCATTAGGAATAAATAAACAGCAGGACTTGGAGGCCACCTAGAATAGAAATAGGAAAAAGCAAGAAACATAAGGTTTGAAAAAGCTAAACACAATAGTCATCACTTATCTAAACGGGATTTAGAACTTAAGTTACAAACAAGAAGCTAAAAATGGAATGATGCACATCCAAGCAGATGTGGAATTGGAGAGAGAGAGATGAACATGTAGAATAGGATAGTTATATGAACAGGAGTAAGAGGTGAATTCACAAATTGACCGCTGAGCATAGACATTTGATCTATTCAAACTCCACTGTACCTAAAAGTCAGGAACACTCTGCTAGGAACTCTGGCTTAAAAGGCAACATCTATAACCTCAAATATCTTTAAATGTAATAGAAAATAGGAGAACGTACTATGAAAAGCTTCATATGCTGTTAACCTGTTAGCACATCACTTAGTTTAACTCTAGATTTATTTCAATATGACAACCAACAAAGACCGGACCCTGAAATAGTGAGCAAAAATATGTGCTGTGAGCAGAACAGGAAGGAATGTGTGCTACTTCTTATAAAAGAACACAGAGGAACTCAAGATGGTAACTATGAACCCATAATTTTCTATTATTTTGGCCTTTATAGTTTACTTCTAGTTAGACCAGATGAGATGACCCTTTTATTGATGTATTTTGTCATTTCCTACAGAAAATTTCCTAGATATGAAAATTTCTCTTCTGTCAGGTATTCTGAAATTCTTCCCCAAAATTCTAACTAAGTGAAAATTTACAAACAGTAACTTGGAAATCCAAAGAAATGTTGCAGTGCCTCAGCCCAATATGTAAATCTTATAAAATTAAGACTCAGCATACATTAGAAAAGAAAGTTATCACACTTAAAACACACACACCCACACACCATACTTCTGTTTCAGTTCAAGCATCCCTTCAGAGATAGCTTCTGGGGGCGGGGGTGGGGCAGGGGGCTGTTAACCAGGTCTAGCCCCATGAAAATGTAAATTCCATGAGGATCTATATCTGTTTTCACTCATCACCAAGCCAGTGACACAGATGTGCAATAAATACTTTTTAATACAAAGAATATGCATATGAAGCTTCTATAAGGATATAAGGAGGGGGACTAGGGCTACTTTTCACTTTCTACTTCATACAGTTCTGTGCTTCTTACAATAAACATGTTTTTTGCATCTATGAGGGAAATTGTCGAACCTGTACAACTGTACCTCAGTCATATGAATATCCATATTAAAGAAAGGATTTACGGCCCTCCCTGGTGGCGCAGTGGGTTAAAGCACAGCACTAAGAAGCTAAAGCCACTTCCGCATGAGTTCTGAGTTCGATTCCCACCTGCCCTGAAGGTGACCACATGGTGTGTCAGACCTCTCCTGACCCGCCCGCTGCTCCCCTCAGCAGTGTATTTCGTCGATCTGCCTGTTCTGCTCCCCACTCTGTCTCTGGTGAAGCCTCTTGCCACCCCTTAGCCTCTGTCCTGTACCCCAGTTCTGTGTGCATAAATAAATAAACCTTAAAAAATTTATAAAATAAAGAAAGGATTTACAAGAGTCGTTCATGTTTCAAATGATATATACTTAAGGTTATTCAAATATGGAGGCTAATATTTAAGAAAAATGAATCAGAAACCAGGAAATGTCTTCTGTTCCAAATAAATATTGGTAAGAACCCAAAGTATTTTTCTTCTTTTGTGCCTCAGAAATTTTACAAGTACAATTCTCGGCCTGAATCACATTTCTTCAAGCCTGGACCATGAATATCTAGCATCATCCAGAGTTTAACTTTAGTTATCATGGCAAGTGACCCTTCCCTGATTACACAGATAAACCTATAAAGTTAGTTTTCCCTAATCTCAAAATCAATACAATTGTCATTTATGCCACTACATTAACTTGTGATTATTGGTTAACTTGAGTTTTATCTCGCTCATTAGAAGGCAGTCTTAAAGAATAATGCCATACAGGGTCTCCCTGGTGGCACAAGAGGTTAAGTTGCAGCACTATGAAGCTAACTATAACCACCGCAGCAAGAGTTCCATCCCCAGCCAGGGAGGTGACCCACATGGTGCACAGACCTCTCCTGTCTCAGCTACTGCTCCCTTCAGCAGTGTGTTCAGTGGATCTGCCTGTTATGCTTCCTACTCTGTCTCTGGTGAATCCTCTCACTGCCCACCTCCACCCAACACCCCACCTCTGGGCTGCACAGCACTGGTCTGTTTACACAGCTCTCTCCCCTTACATTGAAATAAGCTACACCCCAACTCTTGTATGCATAAATAAACAAATATTTTTAAAATAAAAGAAATAATGCTAACTATACTGACAGAACCTGTTAGTTTACTCCAGTTATCATTCAAAAGTGTATTGATCAAGGTAACATTTATCAAGGTAGCTGAGCAAATAGTGACTGAAAAAGGACCTAAACCTCTGTCCACATGTAACTTACATTCCAGAGGAGTGAGATAGAGGAAATACAGAAATAATATAGCTTGTCACCTCAATGGTGCTATGGAGAAAAACAATGCAGAGGCAGGTGGATGACGTGTCTTTGGAGAGGTATAATTTGAAATTGGGTGAAGGTGCCAAACCATTATAAGAAAAGATGCCAAACCATTACAATAAAAAGCTCCTGAGTAGGGGCATTACTTGCACACTCTAGCAGAGGCAAAACCACTGTAGTCTGAGAATAAGGTGAACAAGGATGGGAAAATAAGGAATGGGGTCGAATAAGAAAGAAAGCCATGTTGGCTGTGTGGAGAGAAGGACTTTGGCCTTTCCTTTAAGTGAAATGTAGGCCCACTTAAGAGTCCTGAATGGAGATGTAACATTTTCTGACTTACCAAAGAATCACTCTCCCTGAGAAAGAAGCTGCTCGTGCCCAGACTCAGAGGCCCAGACTCAGAGGTAAAGTCACAGAAATAGCTTTTGCTTTCTGCTCCAGTATTTCTTTAACTGCTTCAATCCAAAATAAAAGCCAAGCAAACCAATCCCAAAATTGTACCCAACACTGTTAACCAAAACAAAATCTTCTGAGGACAGCAATGCCTGCAAATAAACGGCCTCATGGGTCATAACCCACCATCACCTACACCAGTCCTGCATAAAAGAATTACAGATGAGGGTTTTAAAGAAAGAGATGCCTCATAACCAACCCACAAAATTGTGATTCATTAGGTTTGAGAGCAAAGTGCTACCACCCACAATTTTAACTAAAGTGTCAGGTTATGCAGCAGATTGGAGACAAGGACCCAAAATGAAAAAAGTCAATTATCTGTCTACACCCATGGGTAACTTTTTAAATTGAGGTAACTTTGATTTACATCATTGTTTATATTTTAAGAGTACAGGAGATCTTTGAGTGTTTTTGCCATTATAGGGTAGCTTTTTTGTTGGTAAGGGTTAAGTTTTAACTTATCTTGTTCTTGTAGTTGTAATATTAGTAGTGTCATAAAGAATCACAAGATACACAGACACAACTACTGGCAAGTCAATTCTAGATCCAGGTATACAATTACTATAGAACTTTTAAGACACATCCATGACAGCAAAAGAGGAGAGAATGACACCAAGAGTAAACTGTCCGTAGTTCTCCTAGCTTTAGAAATCCTATTCTTCAGAAGATCTAGGTAGAGGGGATACAATGACAAGGACAATAAGATCATCTCCCTAGAGGAACACTTAAATGGCCCCTTTTCCCAACTGTGCCTCCCAATTTCCAAAGGTATCAAAATTTCTTCAGGAGCTGAATTCATGATTCCAGACATTCTCACAGCACAATCTGCTTACCTAGCTATCTTAGTGCCCACACAAGTCTCTATTTTTTTTTTTTAATCTCCCACAGCCAGACTTTTGTTCCCCAGTTTTTAATCACTCTTTAAACTTCACCTGTTTCTCTGAGTCCTCTAATTAAGCAAAGCCTGATCTAGGTGCATCCCTCACCCCCATAGAGCCCGCAAGAGTCCCCACTTTACTACCAGATGTGTTTGAGTACACCTGTACAGGCTTGTAGGCTCAGGAATAAACACAGAGTCAGTCTATCTTTATAGTGCTTTCCTTTAAATTATGAAATGGCAAAGGCAGGTTCCAAATGATTACATTATAAAGTGCTAACTGGTGTACACAACACATGTCCATGCTCTACTGAAGATGTTCTCCAGATACCTCTTGTGTGCCCCAGAGTCTCATCACCTGCTTAGAAGAAAAGGGAGGAAAAATCATTCTGGGTACCTTTCAGCTGTAGTCAGCAGTCATTTAATTTACACTTCCAAAAACAAAATGTAGAAATGGCCAGTGAGTTAAGTAGTCACTCAATTACGTGGGCAGAAAAGATGTGACTAAGGGGTAAGAAAACATAGACAAGCTTTGAAATATTTCCACAGTACCCCTTCTTCCTGGGAACACACAAACCAGAATAACTAGATCTCAGGTTATACAGCGTACCAGATAGGATGCTAGGCAGATCCTAACACATCATGAAAACAAAACTGAACAAAACAAAACATGCCTTGAAAGCACCAGGTATATTCTGAGCTCATAGTTAAATTTGAAAGTGTAAAGACTCCTCCCAGGACTCCAGTTAACACTGCTGAGAAAGGTGGTAAGGGGACACTAGCTATTTCTTCCTATTATGTCCTGCCATTACTAAAACACATATATGGAAATCAAAAGGAAAATCTAGTTAAAAATCTCACAACAAACCAAACTATTTCTACACCCTCCCACACACACAAAATATATTCATTATAGGCAGAGACCAGTAGCAAAGAATACAACACAAAACCTCTTTACAACTAGCTTCCAAAACTGGATTACAACTACATTGATAGTATTACATACACAGAACTGTCTAATAAAGAATTCTAAAATATTATCATAACCAAGTTAGGATACAGTAAAAGCAGATTTAAAAAAAAAGTCACTGTAATCACTTCTATTAAAATGGGGCTAAAAATCTTCCCATCTAAATGGTGGGGATCAAAAAAAAAAATCAAAACTAAAGACTCCAGAACTCGATCATTATTTATGAGAAATCTAATATTTCTGCAACTACCCCATTTTTTCAAAGTTGAAGAATAAAACTGTCAGAATAAATATGAATATGAAGTTGAAGTTGACCTATGAGATTGGGAAAGTAGCTTCTCCTAATAAGTTAGCTCTCAACAATTCTTTGGGAAAAGTTTCATAATTTAAACTTTCATTTAGTAAATACACTACTCAGATTCAGAATTCTAGAAAATGGACTGAATGATCCAGCACTGAACATTTCAATTACTATTGTTCTGTTAACTCTGGAAGTGGACATACAAGATTATAACAACACACAGAGGCTTCCTAGGATCAGGTACCATCTGTGGTGTGAAAGCAACCTATCTCTGTGCAGTTTTTAGGGGTCTTGCATACTCTTTTCTGTAACATCCACACTGGTGGAGATAAGAATTACACCTCAGGCTGCTACTGTTCCTTATAAAATCCTCTATGCCTTTGACCTCACATGTAGACTGGCAAACCCAAAGCATAGACGGTACCCATAACATTTAAAGAAATCAACTATTTTGTTGGGGGGTTCTCTGTGTGTGTGTGTGTGTGCCCGCGCGCACACACTCAACAGGAAGCACAAAAAAAGAGAGAGACAAGAAACATCTTCTAGAAAAAGAGAGCAGGGCAGACTGGATAAACCAGGGTTCAGCTAGATCCTGATGTGTACTCAAGTCAGCTCTGAAATTTACCCAAATGTGTGGCTCACTGCCTAAAACAACATATACATCTGGTAATAATAAACAGTGATAAGTCATAAACAAAAAGGGCTTTCTTTCTTTCAAAGACTCTACAGCTACTGGTAACATTTAAAATCTACATAAAACATAATCAAACAATAGGTGTGAAAATAGTGTTTTGGATAGTATTTCAATTTAAGTTACTAAGAAATGAAAAACTTAGTATTTTACTCCCTAGCCTCAGAACACTAAGAAGCCTGAGTCAATGATTTGACCAACTGGCAAATCTGTTTTCAGGAGAGAAAAAAGCACACTGCCTCTGTTTAACGCAAAGGACAAAAAAGAACATCACTGCAAATCGTAATGTTTGGGTTCATGATGAAAACAGGAAACAGGCTGCCCAGGTATAATTATGGTTATAGACCAATGTGCCTTCAGCTTCAGCCAAGAAGGAAAAAGCAGTGAAGAGAGTAAGCAGAATTTACTTGCCTCTACCTTGCTACAGAAGGCAAATTTTAATAATACTCCCAGCAACTTGTTACATAACCAACAGTAAACAACAATCTGATTCAAACCTCACTAGTAACTACATTCTGCCACTGTCTCCCACTGAACTTAAAAGCTGACTTTGCCAGAGGGGAAAGAAATGTAACACATATCAATCTACCCATTTCTGTGGCGCCACCACTAGGAACCAGACAGATAGATAATACCACCACATCTCTCAGAAACTACAAAAAAAAAAAAAAAGTGTTTCCCAGTTCATTGCTCTCCTCCTCTTTTTAACTAGGCCATATAATATGGGTTCATTGATGGGGAAGGTTCACCTAATTTTTACTATTTAAAGTACTATCTAAAAGCATTGAAGCTTAAGAGACCGCTGGATTTTTGCAACAAAGATAACAGCATGAGAATACAAGGGAGCAGCAACAAAGAGAGGGAAGGGCTGGAGGATGCTTTTGAGAAAAATCACAGAACAATAAAAAACAAAAATTACATTAGAAAATCTAAATTAATGTGTATGTACATCCTTTATGAAGGTTACTTTTTATTAAACGGTTTCTTATGAGTTGTTTTATAATCTTGTAATCTGCGAGATTTTTCTAGGAAGAAAAAAGTACTAGAAAAGATAGTGATTCGTTCAGCTCTGTAATTCCTAACTGAAGTTGGAACACACTAGTTCATATACTTGCCACACCACATCTAGGTACTGTCTTCTCCACAACAAACACTAAGGAGTTGGCATCCTGCAGAAATTTTAAACTACTTAAAACGTTACTAAATCTATAGGACTAAGGTTTTCAACCTTTCAGACTTTCAAATTTAAATTAAAAACTAATGCACGCTAGGCAATTCAGGTACTCTAAGGAAATTCAAGTACTCCAGTTTAAAAAAAAAAAAAAGAATTAAAAAACCCCAGCAACTCAAGTACCCTTTCTGCTCAACTTCAGTGAGGCCAAGCCACCAATCTCCACCTAACCAGTCTTTGTTGCTAGATAAGAACACTTTGGTAGTGCTAGGCAACAGGCATGATGTGACAAACCCAACCAGACTTCAAAACTTTTTCCACAGAAAGATAAGGTAAACAAGATATACTTAGCACCACACCCATTTAAATGCACAAGCAGCCAAGAATGCTTTCCCCCCTCCCCTCTCTAGACCTCCAGCTGGTCAGGAAACAATGTCACTATAATCAAGATAGAGATCTAGCCCAGGGTGTTCAGGCATTCCTCACCTCCAGGCTGGCCTTATAGCTCCATTCTCCAATGCCATCAAAACCAGAATTGGAACATTTTGTTAGGAAGTGGGCAGACGTCCAAATACCCGACTATCCTCGCCCGGGTTTTTTGCAACCAAAATCTGTTTTGGCTACTGAGCATGCTCCAACTTAAGACAGGCGCCACATGGGAGTTTTCAAAGCTTAGGCTCCAAACTCCACGTAATAACAGCAGCTGAAGAAAGGGAAAGAGAGGGGAAGGGGAGGGGGGAGAGGAGAGGCCAGGATATGAATCTGAGTAGAGATAATGAAGTGAGAGACCCGGGGAGGAGATGACTATGGAGAAGGCCAACCGACACTGCTTGGCACTCTCTCTGCAGCAATGCAGAAGTTCAGATGAAGTAAAAGAAATCTTTGCAATGGTGCAAGCTGGCGTGGCAAGTGCCAGAAACCAGCGCTAACTACCAGTTGAGTGTAGGAGCAGGTCACAACTGCCCAGAGTGTAATTCCCACCGATAGGCGTGGATCCTTATCTCTGCAACACAAAGCGAAGGCGGCAGGGACTCCTCGGGCCACTGGACAGCGTTGCAGTGGGGCAGACTAGGCGCTCGCCAAAGCATACAGTCCGACCAGGGGGTGTATCTCGAAGGTGGTTCTTAGATGAGGTAGGACAAACCGCTCCCCTGGACGGAAAGCGGGGCCAGGGATCCCCTCCCGGGCGCTCCAGCAACTCCCTGCACAGCCCGGGCGGCAAGGCGGCGCTGGGACCCGGGCCAGCCTCCGCCCCGC